ACCTGAGGTACAATACACAAGCTATTCACGCACAACTGTTGGAGTAGCTCTTCACAGCAGAGATTTTTCACAGTCGGCTATGCCGGTATGTGGCTTCTGCCTCCTAAGTGGGGGCCCTGTAGAGCCAATGCGAAACGGAAGCTTGCCGGCGTGCCCCTGTACATTCGGGCACCTCCGGAGCCTCGCAGCGATCACACGGTGCCTCCCGCGAGCATTCGCGCGTGAACGACTCGATGGATCGAAAACAGGTGATTCTGCTCTCTCCTTTTCAAAGCCCACATGACCTTGTCCCGGTGCTCCCGGCGCTGCAACTGGGAGGCACCCATGAGTCGCTCCAGATCCTCGACCTCGAGCCGGAGTCCCTGAGCCTGGATTTCCATGATCTTCAACTCCCGCAGCTTGCGTGCCCGGATCTCCTTTGCAAAGTGCGCGGTCAGTCCGACACCCATCTTCTGAGCCACACTGGCTCGGGTTCTCAGAAGGTCGTCGATCCTCTGCTTCTCGAAATCTGAGCTGCCGCCCCAGAGCTGCCTCAGCGACATCATGATTCGCACCTGGTTCTCGAGCTTGATGTCTATGTCAAGCATTTCCGGGAGTTCGTCGGTCGTGGGGACGACTAACGGCTCCTCGCGGCTCATGTCCAATTCGGCGCGGAGGAGTCTGCAAATCGTATCCGTCAGGTCGCGATGATGGCGGGCCTCCTGTTCCATGCCCACCAAGCGGTCCGCGTAGAAGCAGCGGCCATCGCGCTCCATGTCGCGGAGGCTCTCGAGCTGAGCCTGGATCGCGTGCATGGCCCTGAAATGCGCCTTCTCGAGGTCCCGGGACTCGGGCCAAGCCTCTGCTTGGAGTTCGGCCTGAATGCGTCGCTCAACGACGCGGCCCCTGAAAAACCCCGCCGACGCATCAAGCGACATGGCTTCCTACGAGAACTCTTGAGTCAACGCGCACTGGTCATCAGCGTGGCAGGGCAAAACTCCAAGGCGACTCCAGAAGAAGCTCTCGCGAAGTACAAAAAACCAAGGGCCAGACTTGTCGAAGATGAAGGCCTGATGCGGGGCGGCCCGAAAAATATTTTGTCTTGATTCTGACAAGTCAGTCCCGTCAGCCTTCGGGCTCTACCCAGAGGAGCCGCA